CCCCTCCCCGCCCGGCCGCCGCGTCCGCCCGCCTGAAGGTCACCACGCCCCGCCCTTGACCCGCGCCGGCACTGGGCCCCGGGGAGGGAGAGGGGGCGGCGCGGTCGGGGGCGTCTGCGGGGGCGAGAGCCACCCCTGCTGCGGGCACGGGCCGGCCAGAGCTCTGCAGAGAAGGCCTGGGGGGGCAGGGGACAAGCAGCTGGACAGGAGCCGGCACTGCGCCCTTGTGCCAAGGAAGCGACCGGCATCCCGGGCTGCGTCGGCAGGAGCAATGCCGGCAGATCGAAGGCAGTGATTCTTCCCCTCTATTCAGCACTGGGGAGGCCACATCTGGAGTCCTGTGTCCAGCTGTGGGCCCCACTACAGAAAGGATGTGGACACATTGGAGAGAGAGTCCAGCAGAGAGCAATGCAAATGGTTGTGGGGCTGGGGGACAGGACTGGTGAGGAGAGGCTGAGGGACCTGGGCTGACTGAGTCTGGAGAAGAGGAGACCGAGGGGGATTGAATAGCAGCTTCACCTCCCTGCAGGGGGGCTGCAAAGAGGATGGAGCTGGGCTGGTCTCAGTGGGGGCAGATGGCAGGACAAGGAGCAATGGGCTCACGCTGCAGCAAGGGGAGTTGAGAAAGTTTTTCCTCATATCCAACCTCACCAGGAGGGTGGGGAAGTGCTGGGGCCGGCTGTCGGGAGAGGCGGGGGAGCCTCCATCCCTGGAGGCGTTTAAGACCTGGCTCGACACAGTCTTGTCTGGGTGTCTGTTAACGTACGTCCAGGCGCCGCCACGCTAGAGGCCGTGCCCTCGCCCCGGGGGAAGACGAGCCCCCCGCCCCGGCCTCTGCCACGGGTAGAAGCCGCGTCCCCGTGGGGCGAGCGGTGGGGGCGGCCGAGGCATCGGGGTTCGGCGGCGTCTCCCCCCGAGGCAGACGCGGCGCCCCGGCCCCGTCGGAGCCTGCCTGCGCCGGGGGCAGCTCTGACGGGCGGCGGCGGCTGCGCGGCACCATCCGGCATCTGCTGTCCTTGTTCTCCCCCCTCCAAACAACGGAGGCAGCTTCTCCAGCACGGGGGCGGCCGGGCAGAGGCGTCTCCTCCCGTGCCTCAGGGAGACGGAAACTTTCAGTCTTGCCGCAAACATCTCTGCTTCGGTCCCATCGCTCCGTGCGCTCCCCGGCTCGGCCGCCGGCCCGGTCTCCCCCAGGACGGCGGCGGTGACCTCGGGCGCGCAGCGGCAGGCAGGTGTGAGGGGCTCCCGTCCCTCTGGCTTCTCGTGGCTGCCGCTGCTTGCAAGCTGCCCTTGGCTTTGTTCTGCACCCAGTGCCAGCAAAGGCAACTGGAAGAGGCACTCCCTCGGTGCACGCCCTTCGCTGCGCGGGGGCGCGTCGGCAGAGCCCAGCCTGTGGGGCGAGGAGCTGCCAGCTGCGGCCGCCTTCAGCCCAGCTGCCTCCGGTGGCTCTGGGCGAGTGGATGGCATCGAAGCTTGCAGACGTCCGGGTCCCAGCACACCTCGCCTGTTACCTCGAGGCCGTGGGCTGGATCTTGGCCTGTTGCATGCGAAGGCATTTGAGGGAGTGTCGGTGGCTGCTCCCTGCGAGCTCGCTGTAGGAATCGACTAGGCAGGATGCATTTATCCACCACCGGAGCCTGGTCCTGGAGGCATAAGTGGCTGCTGCTTGCCCCTTGCCACAGGTGGAGCTCCCTCGGTGCCAGCACTGCTCCTGAGGCAGCGGAGACCTCCCTTCCCAGGGGCTGCACCACAGCAGCCCCGATCCACGTGTCGCAGGCGGCAAGCGCTGCCTGTCACACCCCTGGGGCTGCAGCGCGCAGCCCCACCCCGGCTTCTCGCTCTTTGTCTTTGAGCGAGCTCCGATTCCCAGAGGGATGAAAGCAGGAGCGCGGCTCCCGTGGAGAAGGACCGAGGCCTGGCCAGGTGGGGACTGCCTAGAGCTTCCTGCCCTGGTGACTGCCCTGCCTGCCCCTGGGCTGTGCATAGAGTAGCCCGTGGGCTGGTGCTAGTGATGGTGTCTGCGTGGGGGGTAGGGACCTGCCTACCCCAGCTCCGAATGCCGCATGCTGCCACCTTCCTCGCCAGGGTCATCGCTCGCCTGCCTTTGTCCTAGCTGGGCTCGTCAAACCCAGTTCCCTTCTCCGGGGCAGCCACAACATCCCCGTGATGATCTCCTCAGCAGCACGTGGCATCCCATGTAGGCACAAAGACGACTGAGTCCCTGTTAACTGGACCAAGGCCCAGTTTGCTGACACACAGCCCTGTTTGAAGAGGGCTGGCATAGGGGGGTCTCGCCAGGTTCCTCAGGCTTTATTCTGGGTGCAGCAGCCCCTCGTCAGCGGGTGCAGGCGAGTAGGGAGACGCTGCAGGTGAATGACAGGGCATTCGCACGGAGACCCGGCTCGCCAGGGGAGCTGGGCCTGTTTGACCGATACCCCCCAGCACAGCCAGGGCTCTGCTCTGCAGGCCCCGGGGCTCTGTGCCCAGGAAGACCGGGGGCTCAGGCAGGGCAGTGGAGACGGGGCCGCGCCGTGCCGAGATTCTCGTGCTCTGTGGATGCAGGAGCAGGGGCTGGGCGCGAGGTGGAGACTCTGCCTCTGTTGATGGGGCGTCGCGTCCAGTTCTGCTTCAGCCTCGCCATGCTTTCAACGCTCCTGAAGGCTCTGAAAGTTGGGGGCGAGGGCGGAGGAGCCATGTGCAGGGGTCGGAGAACTGCCCGAGGCAAGAGCCTCCAGACTCCACCTCCTCGGGGGAGAGCAGCCGGGCAGGTGCCTGGGTTACGGGGCCTTGCGCCTGTGGGGAAGACGGCACCAAGCGCTAGAGGTTTCCCGGCGCAGCGGGGAAGCCAGCCCAGAGCCGGTGGCTGGGTGTGGATGTCTGATGCAGTCGGACTAGAATTGAGTCTCGCTCCGAGCGGCGCGAGGGCCTGGCCCAGGAGCCGCCCCTCTGGCACAGCAGCAGATGCTCCGTCCAGGGGTGCGCGAGTACAGCCCGTAAGTGCCCGCTCAGCCGCTTTGTCCCCAAGGCCCCTTTCTAGTTGGCTTATTTTTCCAGCGTGGCCCAGTGCTCCCCCCACCCTTGCCTCTTCCTGGAGCTCCTAGCTCCTCACTTGTTTCCTGCTCATCAGTCATCCAGGCAGCTGCTGGGTCCCAGCCCGCTGCAGGCTGAGCCCCTTCTCCCAGTGCCGGACAGCCGGGCTGGCAGGGCCCTCGGGCAGCTACTGAGCCCCTGGCTTGAGGCAGCACCAGTCCAGTCCGATCCAGCGCTGCTGCTGCTGCTTCTCCAGATTTGTTCTAGCGCAGCCCCCGCCCCCCTGGGGCCAGGAAGCTCTCCCCCATCCAGCATCCAGCCTCCAGGCTCTTGCTCCTGGTTCTGTCCCCCATGGGCGCAGCCATCCATCACTGGCCTCGGCACATGCGAGAGCTCTGTGCAGGGCAGCTGGCAAAGGCGATGGATGGGGTTGGACTGGGACCCACAGCCCTTCCTTGCTGCATGAAACTCCAGGCCTGGGAGAGGCCGCTGCTCGTGCAGGCAGCATCAGCTGGGCACCCCGAGTCCAGCTCCGACCGTCCCTCGGAGCTGTGGGGGCGACGGGCTGCTGAGCTGTTCTGGGCACAGCTGGGACCAACCTGGAGAGACTGAGCAGGGCCCGGGCTCTGTTTCGGTTGGGCTGGGCGGCCCATCTTCCTTGAGGGCTGGCCCCCACTGGGACGGGACGGCCGTGCCAGGCGCTTTGCCAGCCACCCCAGGTTACTCTGGGGCAAACGTTGGAGTCTCGCCCTCCTGGGCCAGCTGCTAGTGAAGGAGCTCTGGGGGGGCTACAGCCTACAATAGCGCAGGATGGTGCCTCCGTCCCCGGCTCTTCGAGCAGCTGCTCTATGCCCGAGGCGGGAATCTCCTCTGTGGGGCAGCAGCCTGTTCTGGTGGGTGTCGGGGTCGGGTGCCCTGTCCAGCTGCAGTGGTGCCTCAGTCCTCTGGACTGCAGGTGCTGGACATGCCCATGGCGTGACATGGGCCAGCCATGCCGTTTGCCTCAGCCCCCTGGCCACAGCGTGGCCTTACACCAGGCTGCCCGTGGGCTTTCCACTGGCTGCTGCACCCAGTGCCTGGGGTGTGGCGAGGGAGGGCTGGACAGCCTGGCCTGGCTCTGCCCTCTTGCCAGGCCTGTGCGCTCTGAGCAGAAAGCCCTGGGAGCTGTGACTCGGGGGCCCTGCTCCTCCAGGGCTGCTGCTCCCTGTGCAGCCAGGCTCTCTATGGGCGACTCGCAGCCTGGCCCCCTGGCAGCATCCTGGGGCCTGGCGGGAGAGGGGGCACGTGGTGGGGGCTGGGCACGGCACAGGGTCCCTGCTACCTCTGCCTTTGTGTTGCAGGCCAACATGTCGTCGTTCTCGGGCCTGTCCCGTGGCAGGAAGGTGGCCCTGTCTGCACTGGGACTGCTGGCAGCGAGTGGGGCCGGGATCGCGCTGGCTCTGCACAGGGCAGTGAACGCCACCGAAATGGAGCTGCATCCTCCCTCCTACCCCTGGAGCCACTCGGGCTTCCTGTCCGCCCTGGACCACAGCAGGTGTGTGGGGCAGGGGCTGCCGGGCCGAGAGGCCTGAGGGCCAGGCCAGGGTTGCTGCCAGCTCACCTCCCCGCTCCTCTCTAGCATCCGGCGCGGCTACCAGGTGTACAGGCAGGGGGGCTCAGCCTGCCACAGCTTGGAGTACTTGGCCTTCCGCCACCTCGTCGGTGTGTCCCACACAGAGGATGAAGCCAAGGCCCTGGCCAGCGAGGTGAGTGTCTGCTGATCCACAGGGAGCCCGGAGCCTGGCTGCCACAAGCAGGCCCGGGCCACGTGGCTCTGGGATCGGGGCCCGGGGTGTGCAGCTTCCCCACCCCCAGGCCCCACTGAGAGCCCCGGCTAAAGGCTCTCACTCGCCCATGGCAGGTGGAGGTGCAGGATGGCCCCAATGATGAAGGGGAGATGTTCATGCGCCCCGGCAAGCTCTCGGATTACTTCCCCAAGCCCTACCCCAACCCCCAGGCAGCGCGGGCGGCCAACAACGGGGCAATGCCCCCAGACTTCAGCTACATTGTCCTTGCCAGGTATGGCGCCTGGGGGGGCAGGGGGTCTAGCCAGGCTCCCCAGAACTACCCCCCTACCCCTCCTCCCTGGGGCAGCTGCAGGGCTTGGGGCCAGGGGGCTCCGTCATCTCACCTAGCGCTTGTGTTGCAGGCACGGGGGTGAGGACTACATCTTCTCCCTCCTCACTGGCTACTGCGACCCGCCCGCCGGGGTGAGCGTCAGGGAAGGGCTGTACTACAACCCCTACTTCCCGGGCCAGGCCATCTCCATGGCACCGCCCATCTACAACGAGATCCTGGAGTTTGACGATGGTAAGAAGCACCCCGGGCCGCGCGTCTTGCAGGCACTGTCCTTGCAGCCAGCTCCGTGCTGGAAACCCCAGGCCTGGGCTGCATGTGGGCCCCCCCAACCAAGACATGAGCCAAATGCGTTGGATAGCTGCCTCCCACCCCCGCAATCGCAGCCAACACCGGAGCGAGGCGGGAGGTGCAGGGAGCAGCGTGCTGCCGGGCTCTGGGTACCAAGCGCTGCCCTGGAAAGCACGGGCACTAGCAACACCACCCGGGGAGGGGGGGAGGCCTCTGCAGCGCGCACAGCTGTGGCAGGTAGCTCAGCGCAGTGCAGTGCTCCCTGGCCCGGCCCGGCCCAGCCCACCTGGCAGAGTGGTGGTGCGGCACCGCCTGACTGACTCTGCTCTCCCCAGGGACCCCAGCAACCATGTCCCAAATCGCAAAGGACGTATGCACGTTCCTGAAGTGGGCCGGAGAGCCCGAGCACGACCAGCGCAAGCAAATGGGCATAAAGGTGAGGGCTGTGGACTTGGGTGGGAGGGAGGGAGGGAGGGGCCCCAGGGTGGGCAGCTCAGCCCTGGTCTGGGTGCTGTGGGGGTGGGCACCGGGCTGCAGAGCTGGGGGGTCTCTGCCCGAGTCCTCCCTTGTTCTTCCCCAGATGCTGCTAATCAGTGGGTTCCTGATACCCATCGTCTACTTCATGAAGCGCCACAAGTGGGCTGTGCTGAAGAGCAGGAAGCTGGTGTACCGGCCCCGCAAGTGAGGCCTGGCGGGGCCCCGCAGCCCGGCCCCTGGTGCAGTCTGCACAGCTGGCTGGCCCGGCGGGCGCCTGCTCCGCGCTGCTGCGGCAGCTGTTATTTAAGAATGTCCTCCCCTCCCAGACGCAGCCCCTCACCACCAGCCTGGCCCGGGCTCCGGGTCCACGGGGTGGAGCTGCTGTCTCTTCACGTGGCTCGGGGCAGGGAGACAGGTGCTGAGCCGCAGGGGGGGAGTGTTTGCACGTGCCTCAGCCTTCCCCTGCTGTCCAGCCAGGCTGCAGGGCCCCTCACCTCCACCTGACTGCCTCCAGTGTGGCCGTTTGGGGGCCTTGCTCTTGCCAGCTGTATGCATAAGGGGGAGGGGTTGTGCCCTACTGCCCCAGCCACCTTCCCAGGGAGGGCTGAGCCTGCGGGGTCCGGTCTGACTGGGCCGTGCCGTACTGTACTGCGTGGTGCACTCATTAAACGGCTAATTCCAGCAGCACCTCCGTGTCGTGTGTGGGGGCAGCGCGGCCCAGCCCCAGACAGCGACGCCACGTGCCCACAACTGGCTTTATTGTCACCTTCCACACGCATGCTGCTCACTGCAACGCGGGGGCCCAGCTGCCAGCTTGCACCCTCCTGCTGAGGGGGGACAGTCACGCGAGAGCCGCTGTGGCCTGGCTGTGCACTGGGCCAGCACCGCTGCCACGGCCCTCTGGCATGCTGGCAGCAGCTGGTCAGGCACAAGCTGGGGGGGGCTTTGGCAGCAGGAACAGACCAGGCTGGGCCCTGGGAGCCTCGTCGCTGCCCCTTCTCCTGCTGCCCTCGTCGTGTGCAGCACTAGGGCTCTGACCAGAGCCGGCAGCTCCTGTAAGGCAAGGCCAGGTGCTGGCTCCTCCTGCAGGGAAGCCGGCTGGGCCCTCGGTGGCTGCGGGCTCCGGGGCAGACCAGCTCTACTGTACGTGGGGCTCCCAGCCTGCCTGGCCCAGCTTCACCCTCTCCTACAGTCCTTGACCAGTGACAGTGCCCTCCCCGAGTGCCGCTGTGCTAGGGTGGAACAAGGCTGCTGTCCGGTGCTGGGAGGAGACGCCCCCGTGGGGCTGCAGCGAGGTCCGTGCTGCTCCCTGCCCAGGGCAGGTGCCCAGGCCCCGACTCCTCCGTGCCTCCTGCTGGGGGGTGATGCAGGCTCCTTGCTCCTGCCTTGGCCTCTCCCCCGCAGGCCCCTGCTCAGTGGCAGTTCTGGCAGTGGGGGTGGCACCTCTGCCCGTTCACGTTGCAGCGGCATCCCCCACTCGTGTCACCAGGGCCCTGTTGGAGAGGGGCAGCATGTCACAGGGTGGGGATGCTGCCAGCTGCCACATGCCCCCAGGGCCAGGGGCCCAGGGTGCGCAGCTGACACTGCCCACTGCAGGGACAGACTGGGCCCTGCTCCCCAGCTGCCTGCTCCTCCCCTTGCCTGTCTGCCCGTTCACGTTGCAGCGGCATCCCCCACTCGTGTCACCAGGGCCCTGTTGGAGAGGGGCAGCATGTCACAGGGTGGGGATGCTGCCAGCTGCCACATGCCCCCAGGGCCAGGGGCCCAGGGTGCGCAGCTGACACTGCCCACTGCAGGGACAGACTGGGCCCTGCTCCCCAGCTGCCTGCTCCTCCCCTTGCCTGTCTCCTCCCAGCAGGGCCAGGCCCGGGGTACGAGTGCCTGGGCAGGGACAACGCAACCCCGCCGTGACTCACCCCCGGCCCCCAGCGCGGCCCCTTGGTGACC